ACTACCTTGACCTTGACTTCAGTATGCTAAAGGACCTTTGCGCCTCCAGGTCCTCCACCAACCTTCTCCAACTCTGCTGTGTGCCTCATGGGGCTACCTCCTGTGAATTAGATCATCCAGCCTCCCTCCTCCTCTGCTTCCCAGTTGGGTTTGATCAATAAGAGGCTCCACCGTGGGATCACAGGGTAGGAAAAGAAAGAGTCTGAGGTATTTAGTCCTCTTGATTCCTTTTCTGCTAGGCCACTGCTTGGCAGTGGCTACGGTCCTACAGGTTACCCTGTCCTTCAGAAAGCTCTCTCAAGGTTCCAGAAACTACTCCCCTTCCTGGTTCCTTCAGGCCTAAGAGCGAGAATGCCTCTTAGCTGAGTTGTTTCATCATCCCCCGTTGGTCTTCCTTAGCCCTGCCCAGCTTTGTACATAGCCCCTGCATCTCATCAATCACACTGTTGGAGTGTGCCAGGAGATAACGGATATACCCAACGAACTACTTGCTGCCTTCCCAGATGGCTCCTATCTCCCCTGACCCCACAGCACGGTTTCTCTCTCAGTAATTGGGTTCCTCTGTATGTTTCCAAATATGGACTGATTCACTACAAATCAAGTCCCTATGGAAAATTCTTAATCCCACGCTGATTCCCACTTCTGCCACCGCTGCTGTGTTCAAACTCTATGGAATATTAGATTGGACAAAACCTAATTAAGAAGGGAAATGTTACTAAAAATTCCTGACAGAAAGACAGCAAAGTCAAGACAAATACTGGGGTTTGGGGGTTATCTGTTTATAACTCCCCTTTTCTTTAGATTAAAGGCGCAGAAATTATCATACTTGTTATTATAGTTTTGCTTTATTTATAAGATTGAAACAATGCCAAATACAGTGCTCATCCTACAATGGCCACTCAAATTGCTAACAAAATTTTATACGCCCGATCAGTCCTAATGAATTCTCCCTTTCTCCTAGACCAGCGGTTCTCAACCTTCCTAATGCCGCGACCCCTTAATACAGTTCCTGATGTTGTGGTGACCCCCAACCATAAAATTATTTTCGTTGCTACTCTATAACTGTAATTTTGTTACTGTTATGAATCGTAATGTAAATATCTTTTTGTTTTCCGATGGTCTTAGGCGTCCCCTGTGAAAGGGTCGTTCAACCCCCAAAGGGGTCGCGACCCACAGGTTGAGAACCGCTGTACCTAGACAATCCTACAAATAAGACACTGGATTCAAACAATAGAAATGAGTTTTTCATGTCGATCTTTCAGTTTACTGCTTAAATCGCAACTGAGATGCATAAAGAAAGCATCCCTAAAAAAAATTTAGGGGTCAAAGATAAAGTCTAAGATCTGGAAAGATTCGAGTTTTGAACCTGAAAAGCAAAACGGAAACAGGCTTATCGTGTCCAAATCATGAAGAATGCTGCAAAAATGTTGCAGAGGAAAGCATTTCTTAAGAATGTTACTCTACTAGAAGACCATGCTATACACTCTCCTATATATATTCCAAAGCAGTAGGACTTGATCTACGGGCAAAATAACCCCAAGTAACACTACAACAGACCCATTAAACTCAAAGAAAAGACTCATTCCCCACTCGTATGAATGCCTAGGCTATACAGATACCATTATCTACTCGTATGTTAAGGAACCCTACACCAGGGTTTCTCAACCTGGGCACTACTGCCATTTTAGGCCAGAAAATTCTTCGGTTGTGGGAAACTGTGTGCATAGTAGGGTGTTTAATTGTATCCCTGACCTCTAGCACTCCTCAAGTGTGACAATCAAAAATATCTCCAGGGCCGGGCGAGTGGCGCGATGGTTAAGAACTGGCTTGGGACGCCAGAGGGCCCCGGTTCGGATCCCACATATGAGGGCCAGTGACACTGCCCTCCACAGCTAAGATGCTGAACAACAGCTCAACCTGGAACTGGGCTGGCGACGGCAGAGGCTGTAGCCCCTGTGGCAGTGGGTTGCCATGGGCTACCGTGTGTAGCCAGCAGCCAGCATGAGCAGCCAGCAGCCGCAGTGAGTGGCTGTCCAGAAGCCGGCGACTGATCTGCCTCGCCCGGGAAGAGCGCAATGATGGTGCCAATTTGGGCCAGTGAAGCAACGTCCTCCACAACTAGACTGAAGAACAAAACGACAACAACTTGTCTGTTCCCCTTCCCCCAATTCCCCAGCACTGTTCCCATCCCCCCAATTCCCCAATAAAAATCTTAAAAAAAAAAAATATCTCCAGACATTGCCAAATGTCCTTGGGGGGCAAAATCGCCTCTGGTCGAGAACCTCAGCCCTAGACAAACAATTATCACTCAAACCCCAACCAGCTTACCATGGTGCAAATAGTAACCTTGATTCACTCATTTGGATGGAAAAAAGAGAAAAACCACCTAAGGAGTAGACTGAGTTTTATAAAGTACCTTCTTAATAGTTACAAGTATTTGGCAACTTGCAGCCCTCGCTTAAGGAGAATACAGATGAAAAGAATGGTTGTAAAAATGGAGAAAGAGTGATTAAAAAATTGCCTGACTTGAATTCCCTCAGAAAGCATGGCAATTCTCAGATGAATACACTCACTCATTTTATTCTCTCTGAGACATAGGTGGAAAATATTACAGCCCATGACATGTCATATATGAGCAAACAGAAAACGGCAGGCAAGCCACCCTCATCAAATGAGGGCAAAATCAAGGGCAGTTAACACGCTGAGGGCTGACAGCCCAAGCCCCTTATTCTGAAATGCAAGGTTTATCATATATGGACTCCAGTTGATCTTCAAATTTTATCATCATAACATACTGTCCTCACAAGTGGTTTTCAACCTTATCAAACCAAATGCCCTCTTTGTATAACAAATATTTTATAATGCCCTATATTATTCTAAAATGAAATTCAAAGATTATAACATTATACCTATAGACATAACCTTTAAAATTTCAATATAACGCCCTAACTGCAATATAAAAGAAAATAAACAAGAAGGTTTGTATAATAAAACATGTGTTTTCAGACAAGACTATAGAAAACAAATACCTAAACACACAATTCCAAAACGCCCCCTAGAGGGTAGAGCTATCCCACCCCTTCTGTTCTACACAAACGCTGTCCCATCAGTTACAAAGTTCAACAACCTCTGTCCTATTCCGTGAGTATGACCCAAGTCAGGTCATCTGTGGTTAATATGTGGCTTCACCACTTCATGGCTGTGGTACCCTCTCTAAGTCTAGTTTTTCAACTATAAAAGGAGGATACCAGCATATTTTCCAAAAGATTTTTGTGAAAATTAACCAAGTGTGTAGAGTATCTATTTCTGCACCTAACATGTAATATATGCTCAATAAATGTTAGCTATTGGACTTATATTATTGTTCTTGAATCCACCCTGTATTGTGTCCTAGCTTATGACCATCTCACTCCCCCAAGCAGAAAGGATGGATGGCTGGATATCCATTTATCAGAGATATTCTAAAAAGCATTCATGTACAACATAAATAAGAAGTTGCATCATAGGACTTCTAAGATTGTTTCTAATTCTGAGACTCTATTATACACTTCCCTGCATGGAAGTTATGTTTTTATTAACTGGGATTCTTTTTTCCTAGAGGGCCAAGAACATGTCTTACACATCATATAAAGTAGCTAGAGAAACACCTTGCACTCAAATCATAATGGTTTAGTGCCCACATTGAGAACTCAGCTCTGGTCATTGGTTTTTTACCATTTAGCCTCAAATAGCAGAGTACAGTTAAGAAAGGAATGCCAACTTTTCCAGTTTAAGTACTTCAACCAACATGTATGGTGTCTTCAGAGAGGGATGATTCTCGAAGACCAGTGGTTTTTCATGTGAATTAATTCCCTACACCAACAAGCAAAGCCAACACCCCTAAACATTCTACATAATCAAATGAGGAAGTGAAAAGTAGTAGCAACAGCTAGAGAAATACCTCAAAACAAAACTGATTCCAAAGTTAATATTCTGAATTAAAGCACTCACTGCTCAGGCTATTAAAGGGAACCCACAGGCCCAAGAAGTAATAAGCACATCTCTGGGCACAGAGGTATATCCATCCTATTACCTACTGTGATCTTAATTTATATTAACATACTGATCTACGAGGAAAAACAGAAATTGCCAATTCTTACAAATCATTCTGCATAACCCTCCAGTGCTAACAGTGGTTATCCCTGAGTAGTGGAATTATTAGGGGCTGCTTCCTTTTGCTTATTTATAATTTCCTATTTTTCTAACATACTGCTTTTGTAATAAAAATTTAAAATTACATAAAGCAATTTATCTATTGATAATACATGAAATTTGAGGCAAGAAACTATTTTAGGTGAAATCGCCATCAGGATCTGTAGATAAACCAAGTATTTATCTATGATTCTAAAATCATCCTTGCTCCCCACCTCAAACCAGAATTCATCACAACTTAGTTTCCATCTTTATCCCTCCCAGAAACCTTACAGGTTTTGCCACTGTAGGAAGTCAGCATCTAGTATAAGAAAGCCTCACTATTATTAGTTTTTGCCAACTTCCCAGTGACAGCTACCAACTCTCTGATTCAACAAGCATTTTGTTAATCACTTACTATATACAGAGCACCATGATAGATGTTTATTCATCTCTATACAAACATGATATCTGTCTTCCCCGGAATATAGTCTGGGAGACAAACACTTTTAAACTGATATACGATAGAACCAGATAAAATGTAAAATACAAGTTTTAAAACTGCTCTGGTAGTATGGGGAGAGATTAAAACCAACTACAAGAATTTTGAAAAAGATTCTTCTTCATGTATATTAAACATATATATTCATATATTGAACGCATTTATCCATTCTTAATCACTAAGCCCAAAATAAAGGTGCCAGAAACGCTCAGCTACCAAAAGCAAGCAAGCATCAGAGGTGAAATCTACACACTTGGATCCTTTGGACTAAAAATAAAACATAAGGCACAAGTGCCTTACAACAAGGAGGATTGTGGAAAAAACTCACCAACATCAGTAGGTCCGTACTGGGCATCTTCCTCTTCCAGCCGCACTTTCAGGGCCTCCCCTCTGCAAAAAGGAACCAGGTTTGTTTACTTCTCTTCTAAAGCTTTGAACTATCGCGTTGGCCGCCTAGATTCGACAGAGAATCAAGAAATGGTTCTCTCCCTCCTTTGAGAGCTCGGATTTCACTCCCAGATATCACACTCCACCCCCAGCACCCCAAACCGGCGAATCAGAACCCTGGCTGGCTTTATGCTTCCCTCCTACAGCAGACCGAACGAATCCAGAACCAGCCTCCCACAAAGCAAGGCCCCCAGGTAAATACCAGGGCGACGCCCAACTCTCTCCGGACTAAGGCCCGGAGCCCCGGAGCCTGGCCCATTCAATCCAACCCCGCGGAGCGTCGGACGCAGAAGAGAGCCCGCCCCCAGGATGCAGCCTTCCCCGGACTCCCTTTAGAAAGAGGCTGGCCTTGCTCTCGACTTCATCCCTCCCTCCCTAGAACCCTTTCCTCTCTGGCGAAGGATCAGCACATCCTGCCGGCCCCAACCCATTCCTACCCCGTCGTGGGAGTGGAGTTTCAGATCCCGTTCCCTGTCGGCCCTGGTGCCCTCCCCCATCCACTCGCGAACCTTGCACTCACTCAGACCTCGGGTGCTCAGCGCCCCCACCTTCTGCCCGAACCCGATCTCGCCCAGCATCTGCTAGCCCCACAGTCCCGCCCGGCCCTTCCTCCTCTCCTCACTCCTCCCACCCAGGACCACCCTCCCGCCCCCAGTCCCGACCCTCCTCTCGTTTCCCGCGCCGGGACCGCTTTCCACTCAGTCCCGACTCTCCTCCCACTCCAAACCCGCAGCCCTCCTCCCCAGCCCTGACCCTCCTCCTTCCTCCGTAGCCGTGACCCCTTCCACCTCCTCAGCCCGGAACCAGCGTCCCCACTTCTTCCTTTGGACACTCGCCACCCGCCACTGTCCTCTTCCCCGCAAGACCACTTTGTGAGTGACGGGGCTCGGGCTCCCTCTGCCGCAGCTGAGATTAGAGGTCGGACGCGGGCGGCCCCGCCCCTCCAGGGCGACCCCGCCCCTCCCCGCCCGGAAATGGCTCCCAGGACCCTGCGTGCGCGGCCCCGCTGCCCGCCGCGCGCACGCCTCTCCCTGGGGTCCGTGGCGCGTGCGCGTCGCCTGCTGGCCAGGCAGGGACCGGCACCCGGGCCTTCCTGGGAAGGTGTAACTGCCGTCCCAAGACAGCAGCTTCTCCTTCAGGCTGCCTTTTCAAAAACCAACTTATTGGCCACATATGGTCACTTGTAGCCCCTGAGAGAGTTGGCCTGCAGAACACCACAAACTGATCTAAATAAACCACCCAAGATGGGACTCTAGAGGAGGCCTTTGGGGTTTTAATGAGTGACCCACGGATTTTGCCCCTTGTCTTTTACCTGGAGACTTCCATCGAGGACAGTGATGCCCAAAGACAAGGACATGGAAATTCCCTTAATGGATGTATCACCCATCTCCCCCTTCCCCCACAAAAATGGGGGACAGGCTACAGGTTGGGGGGAGGAAGAAACTTTCCTCTACCCTCAAGGATTTTTCAGCTGGTCTAATAATCTAATAGACATGAGACAGGTTAGCAAGAGAAAATGACACAATACAATTACATACATATGCATGGGAACCCCACATACATGAGAGGTCCAAGGGTAGAAGGGGGAAAATGAGGTATGTATGACATTCTGAGCTAAGAAAGAGGTAAGCCACCTTGGGGCTTCAGAAGGTAATTGCAGGGAGAGCACATGTTCAGCAATTAGAACTTTGCCCTGCACTATAGGTAGGTCATAAAAAATTATTTCTGGTGATAACTCTTATCATGGGTCTGGCCCCTAATTTAAATTCTTTTAGATAGTTGGGGGGTGGAGGTGGGAACAGATGTTTCTCTTGAGCCTGCAGGGTCTCAGTTGCTTTTAGCTCAAAACAATACTGCAGACCACAGAGGCACATCTTGGGGTGACTTGTTCTGAACCCCTACAAAGTGTTGGGCAAAAATGCTACCAATACTGCTTTATTTTCATGAACAATGTTGGGAGTCATCTAATATTTAAGTGAAAGTGACCACCAAGATCACAAAGATCACCCTTCCTTTCCAGGTAAAATAACTGAATCTCAAATACATTTTTCATGGCTTGCCCATGTTGTCATGACACTAATTCAGTACAAGCAGAAGGCAGTGTCGTTACATGTAACTGACCAGTGATCTGCATACAGTATTTTTTCAATAGATGTTTTTAAAATGATACCTAGATGGAATCTTGAAATCTTAACAAAAATGACACCAATGAGGGTACCAATTCCATCCCCTTGCAAAATGTTGTCATGACACTAATCTAGGGTATCATCATCAATGCCATCATTATCTTTATCTAGGATGAAATTCCTTCAGCATTTTCCGATTTCCCAATTAGAATGCTTAAGACCCTAAAGGAGTCAAGCAGTTTATCCCTGGGCTTTCTCACTTTCACCCCCACCCCATCAAAAGTCCCAGACATCTCTATCATCCAGAGCCCCTGGACCAGGCACTGACATTTCATATTCTTCTCCCTCTTACTGCTGTTCCTCTACAGACATGCATTCTCAGTGTCGAAGGGTCAGAAAATATTCTGGGGCCACCTGCCAATGCCCACTCATCAAGAGTTACTTTTGGATTCCAGGCATGTCCTCCCCACTCCCCA